TACTTAAAATAAATGTAAATCTTAATGAATAGTAGGAAATATTTAGTTAAGTACACTTTTTTTTTAATAAAATTGTTACTATTTTATGATTTTTTATTTATTTGTATGCATATTTTGTAAAATATTTGCATATTTTCGGGTAAACACGTGCATATTTATGCGCATATTTTCTACATTTTTATTTGCATATTTGCCGAAGTCTACTTATCTCTTTGTTACAAAATTTTATTAAAGGTTTGATCTGTTCAAATAAAAAACATAACTGTATCTTCTTTTAAAGGAAACCTTTCAAAGAAATATCTTCTTGTATGTAGGTTTTAAATCCCGTTTTTTCTTTAATATTAGTCTCCTAAATTGTTTAATCGAAAAAGCACGTTCTAATTTTATGAAAATCAAAAGGTCCTATGTGGCAAACATTTAACATTTGCTCTTAAAGTAAGCCTAACAAAATGTTACGTATACAGTGTACTATACTATGGAGTGGAATCATGGACGTTAAATCTAGACACAATAAGACGACTTAACGCCTTTGAAATGTGGACCTATAGAAGAATTATGAGGGTTTCCTAGGTAGATAGAGTTACGAACAATGAAGTACTGGGAAGGATAGGTAAAGAGAAGAAGTTGAACTTACAACTAAAGAGAGAAAGCTACAGTATCTCGGACATGTGATGCGGGGCGAGAAGTATGGCATCCTGCGACTTATAATGCAAGAAAAGATAGATGGCAGAACACGCATCAGAAGAAGACGAATTTCATGGCTTAAGAACCTGAGAGAATGGTTTGGATGCAGCTCAAGACAATTATTTAGAGCTACTGCCTCAAAAATTAAAATAGCTATGATGATTGCCAACCTCCGTAGCGAAAACGACACCTGAAAAAGAAGAAAAAGAAGCTGTTTAAATTATCGCACCATCCTTTTCTTGGTCTGCCAATACTTATTCGTCCATTTGGTGACTTTATTCGTGCTATTCGTTCTATCCTATCCTCTGCCATTCTACTAATGTGTCAATTCCACTCCTGTTTCCATTTTGTCACCCATCCATTTATATATTCTACATTGCATGCTCTTTCTTATATTTTCGCTTCTCTTCCCATCCAACGGACTTTTCCCTGATATTCATCTTAGTATTTTCATCTTTGTTGATTCTAGTAGTCGTCTCGTTTAAGATGTGTCAGGTTTTGTCTTCGCCTTTATTCGTCTTCGGCTTTATAGATTCATATTGTTCTGAAGCTATTTTCTTGTGGCATTGTAAATTAATTACTGTTAAACTGGGAATAAGCCACAATTAAAGATAAAAATACGTTTATTGACGTTTCAATTTCCACTTCGGAAATCGTTCTCAAAATACAAACAGTGAATTAAACAAATTTTGTTTTTTGTTACATAGTGAAAAATTCTTCTAATAATTTAATTTTATCTGACTCATTTATATTGACAATTCAGACATACATTATGCATTTTAAAGTAGATGACTTTAAAATGATATTGCCAATATTGTTGAGTTGCGCTCCTGGGACGACTTTACTTATAAGATAGTTCATTCGATTACATGAAATCAACTTTAACTTGAGAATATCCGTCAGAAAAAAAAATCATAGCATGTAATTCGTCTTTAAAAAGACAAACACATGACATGATGACAGTAAAATTCTCCTGTTAGTGATTCCATAGTAAATTATGAGGGAAAAACCAGGAAAAAAACCTCATAATACTATCCCGACATTGTAAGTATTTGTTCGTGAATTTAGTTTACCTTCAACAAACATCAAAATTCTGATTTTATATGTTACGTTATTTAAAAAACATAAATGAAGTATCCTCTATATGTTACTGACTTACTAATACTGGTATTTTCTTATTAATAACTTCCTCTTTCAAAAAAAAAAAGAAAAAAACCAACACACACCAATAGATATTTAAATTTCAAATCAAATCACAATATTAATGTAAAAAAGGGAATAATTAAATCCTTATACGATAGAGCCAACGCTAGATAGGACTACATTTAAATTATTCCATTGAACCCTATGTTCATTCTCCCATGCGTGTTTATATATTTGAGATCTATCAAATTCTCTATTTTTAATATAAGATTGATGTTCACTTATTCTAACATTTAATGGCCTTGATGATTCACCTAAATAAAACTGATCGCATTCACAAGGTATTTTATAAATGCAATTCTTTGTCCTTTCTTGTTCATTGTTAGGTTTGGTTTTGGACAAAATAATGGATCTCAACGTGTTTGTTGTTTTGAATGTTGTTGAAATGTTGAATTTATTTCCTATCCTTTTAAGTTTTTCTGATAATCCTTTTATGTACGGTATTGTTATTTTCCTCATATTATTCCTTGTGTATGCTGTAGGATCTCGTTCTAAGTTGTTCTGTTCTATTCGATCGATTGTTGAAAATTCCTTATTTATAAACGATAAAGGATAATCATTTTTTAATAAAACAGATGTTAACAAATGTTTCTCCTCCAAGAACGAATTTTCATTAGAACAAGTAATTTTGGCTCTATCGTATAAGGATTTAATTATTCCCTTTTTTACATTAATATTGTGATTTGATTTGAAATTTAAATATCTATTGGTGTGTGTTGGTTTTTTTTCTTTTTTTTTTGAAAGAGGAAGTTATTAATAAGTAAATACCAGTATTAGTAAGTCAGTAACATATAGAGGATACTTCATTTATGTTTTTTAAATAACGTAACATATAAAATCAGAATTTTGATGTTTGTTGAAGGTAAACTAAATGCACGAACAAATACTTACCATGTCGGGATAGTATTATGAGGTTTTTTCCTGGTTTTTCTCTCATAATTTACTATGGAATCACTAACAGGAGAATTTTACTGTCATCATGTCATGTGTTTGTCTTTTTAAAAAAGAATTACATGCTATGTTTTTTTTTCTGACGGATATTCTCAAGTTAAAGTTGATTTCATGTAATCGAATGAACTATCTTATAAGTAAAGTCGTCCCAGGAGCGCAACTCAACAATATTGGCAATATCATTTTAAAGTTATCTACTTTAAAATGCATAATGTATGTCTGAATTGTCAATATAAATGAGTCAGATAAAATTAAATTATTAGAAGAATTTTTCACTATGTAACAAAATACAAAATTTGTTTAATTTACTGTTTGTATTTTGAGAACGATTTCCGAAGTGGAAATTGAAACGTCAATAAACGTATTTTTATCTTTAATTGTGGCTTATTCCCAGTTTAACAGTAATTAATTTATAGATTCATGTTTCTTAGGTGTTTGTTCTTCCAGGTTGTATCATTAAGAGATCCCGTCGCTTTACTTGCTTTTAAGCTGTGTTGTTGTACTTCTTCTTCAACATCTCCATAACTAGTTATATCTATTCCCAGATATCTAAACCTTGCTACCTGCTTTATTATTTTCCCATCAATTTCGATTTTACATCGTAGTGGGTATTTGGATGTTGTTATACATTTGGTGTTTTCTGCTGATATTATCATAATATTGTATTCCTTGGCCGTTGTATTGAAGATGTGTGTTAATCTTTGGAGCTCGTCTTCTGTCTCGGCGATTCTTGCAGCGTCGTCTGCATAACATATTATTCGGATTTCTTTATTCACCAGTATGTAACCATGGCCTTTAGGTACTGCTTGTATTATTTCGTCCATTATTACATTAAAGTGAAGTGGACTTAATGAGTCGCACTGTCTTACTCCGCTTTATACTGATATACACTGTAGTTTTCCATTTACCTTTTCCTGTATTCGATTATGGAAGTAGATGTTTTCGATGGTTTGTATATTATTAATTGGTATGCTTCTTTCATACAGTAGGTGTATGACGCCTTCGACTTTGTCTGGTCTATAAAACAGATATATGCTGGTTTATTGTACTTTATGGCCTTTTCTGTTATTTGTCTTAGTACAAAATACGGTGTCTACGTAGGATCTTCCGGATATGAATCCTTATTGTTCATCTGATAAAGTTGTTAGTTTATTATTTTCTTGGTTAGGACTTTTATGTTAAGCTTAAGTACGATGTTCATTAGATTTAAACCTGTATAATTGTTGGGGTCTTTTTTTATCTCCTTTCTTAAACATTATTATGATTATGCCATTTCTCAATGCGTCTGATATCTTGCAGTGCAATATTAGATTTTGTATATGTTTTGTCATCTCAAGGGTTACACTTGCCCCTCCGTGTTTTAAAAGCTCGTTGGTTATTTCGTCTGGTCCTGGTTATTTTTTTTGTAGTAAATTTATGGCTATCTCTACTTCCTGAAAACTGATTTATATTTCGTATCTTAATTCAGGTACGTTATTGTGTTGATTATTATTGTCCTTTCCTTTAAACAGTTCCGTCAGGTATCTTTCCCATTCGTTCGTTCAAAGGAGTATAAAATATCATATTATTCTAAGCAATTTATTCATTCCCTGTAAACTTTTGAGTGGGGTACATATATAAATTCATTTTTAGATTAATTCAAACTTGAAGAAATTAACAGTTTTAACAAACTTAAGACAAAGAAGATATATTTGACATATTTTTACCATTTTAATTGAAGTGGGGTCGTAGTGGTCATTATAAAACTGAAATTTAGACTTAAAGTGTACTTTAATTTACTTAATGTTCACTTTAAATTGACTGTGACAGGAGTTTAACAAGAATTAGATAATTAGATGGGATAATATTTATGAATTTTGACATTTATGAATTTTGACGTTCGAAAATCGTTACTAATCTAACTTAAGTATCGATCTTTTATATTTCTGTTTTTATTATGTTTGGCAGATATGCTTTTAATTATTTACTTCTCATTTAATGTCTGTATTTTGTTTTTGTTTTTTAGATTAGTTTTTAATTTAAACCTGATTAGAGTAAATAAATGATGACCAGCCTCAGCATTTTATTAACGCGAAAAAAGTAAAATACAATGCCAGTATAAAAGCTTAGCTTCAAAAAACAGTCAAGTCAAACATGTCATGCCTATTTTTTATTTTTTACAGTAAATGGAGAAATCAGAACGCATACCTACTCAGATGTTAACAAAATCACCAACAAATTGGCCAGAACCATTATAGAAACCATTTCAAACAATCAGCTACCCAGAAACAAAGACGGCGACTACATAATAGGCGTAAACATGCATCCTAGCGATCATTTGATTATTTTGTTGATGGCCATTTGGAAGTCTGGAGCAGCTTATCTGCCGCTTGATCCATCATTCCCAGGGCCGAGAGTTGAGCATATTGTAAAAGAAGCGAATCCGGCTATGATTATATACGAAACAGGTAAAAGTTCCTTGATTTTTATTGTTGTGCAAAGTTATTTTGCATTAAATACCATTAGTTTATTCTTTTTCTTCTTGTGCTTCATGCTTAGTCGTATATATCATTTTCGAAAATATTAACAAAGTTGATTTTAACCACTCAGTTGGAATATGGCTTAAATCATATATTCGGTTGAACAATTACGGGAGATCCATTTGATCTAATATTTTAAGATCTACAAGTACTTTTGTTTCTTCACTGCCTCACTTTCTCATTCTTCCCACTTAGCAGGACCCTGTCTGATTTCTCTATGATATTTGCTCCCTAGAGAGCAATTAAGCAACACATTCCTATATGTAGAAAAGATTTACCAAATCCTAGATCCACTTTCTATGGTATTTAAGAGCTTTTATTGGTGATTTTTTTTTGGTTATATTGTCCAGCAGTGATGGCTACATTCCTAAAAGAACTGAGAATAAAGAAAAGGTACTGCAGAAAACCAGATAATACATCTACAATAAACAAACAAGTGCATTAGTTTTAAAATTTACTTATCTTATCACTACATAATATCTATTATTGTTAATTTTAGATTCGAAGTTTTATTTGGATACCATAAAACTGTCCTTCGAAGAGCTAGCCAATAAGAGCACGCACCAGTCTGAGGAACCGTTGTCTAAAAGTGAAAAGGTTCGACACGTACGGGATGATCTAGCAGTTGTTTTATATACGTCTGGTAGTACCGGTGTTCCGAAAGGTAAGAAATATTTGAAAAAAGGTAAGATTATAAGTGCATTTCTTCTAGTTTAATTAGTTTTAACAAACGTCAACTAAATAAAATTTAATTAAAATAAATAAAATTAAATAAAATTAAATAAAATAAATAAAATTAAATACAATTAAATAAAATTAAAATAAAATTAAATAAAATTAAATAAAATTAAATAAAATTAAATAAAATTAAATAAAATTAAATAAAATTAAATAAAATTAAATAAAATTAAATAAAATTAAATAAAATTAAATAAAATTAAATAAAATTAAATAAAATTAAATAAAATTAAATAAAATTAAATAAAATTAAATAAAATTAAATAAAATTAAATAAAATTAAATAAAATTAAATAAAATTAAATAAAATTAAATAAAATTAAATAAAATTAAATAAAATTAAATAAAATTAAATAAAATTAAATAAAATTAAATAAAATTAAAGAAAATAAATAAATTAAAATTAAATTAATAAGAACGGGCATGATGCGAAGTTGAAACTGAATATTTCTAGTTTTTTATATTATTTTGGTAAGTTTTCTTTCATTATCAGTTTGGTATTCATTTCCAATACCAATACTTAATTGGTATTTTCTTTTCGACGAATAAATTTTACAGATAACACTATCGGACAGTTTTTATTGATTTTCCACATATCATAAAAAAAATTCGTTTGACTAATTTTTGCGCCGAACCCTTCAAGTGAAGATTTAAAAAGTAGATTGAGCCCAAAATAGCACATGTTGGCCGTGTAAATATTGCGGTTTATCTCTTATATCTAATTTTTAGAGTTGACAAGGGCTCCCAGATATATAAATTCGTTAATTACTTGTCAAACCCATTTCTGTAGTCGCTTTGTTAGTGCCACGTATGTCCCTTGTACATCATTTTTCCGTTCTTTCAACAATATTGATATCATCAGCATAGATTATATAGATGATATTCGCTTCGTGTAACTGAACAGGTGTCGCCCTCTCTAAGTTATTATATCATCACCATAACATTTAGACCATTGAAAACATTTATAATTCAGCAGTAATAAAATCTAAAATTTGTAATTAATTATATTTATTGTATGTATATTCATTATGTATGTATAAATAACGTTATCGCAATATTTCTGTTGTAGCATGAATTTTTTTCCTTGAATATCGAATATTTAAATATATAAAAAGAATTATTTGATACGTCTCTGGTTGGTAAATAATAGTGATTTGAAGTTGTTTGCTTAAACGCCCTGGCTAATACGGCACAACGACCTAAAGTTTCTTTACCCAAGTGTGTTTGAGGACATATGGGGAAAAATTACTGCGAAATTGTCGAGTTTGACCTCGTTTTTACTGCGTTTCAATTTAAATAAGTTTCCACAAAAATTTAAATGCCCGGCACTTTAACGTTCATTATCGAATTCAAAGCGTAGTTAAAGAGAGATCCGATTGGCTGTCGGTAAAATCTGCTACGAAAAAATACAAGTTTGGAGGAGGAGAAACAATTTATTGTCTGAACGGAGAAGCATCGTGTCCGTAGAGTCTTAAAAACCGGCAAATTTTCGCTTAATTTCATAAGTTTTGGTTAGAAAAAGGTTGATTCTAAATGCTATGTGGCAGTCTTTGAATAGTGAGTTAATCACCGTTTTGTTGGAAGCTGATTTATCAAGGGATTTAACAGCGTCCTGAGGGCTAAGTGCGCCTACTTGGTTTTGAGTGAAAAATAGGCAGCCGAGTTTTGATGAATCATATAGTTATCATCCAAGATAATTTGAAGCCCAGTTTTGATGTGTATTTTTAACAGGATTTGTCAAGCTGTAGTCTCCATTTTGTGTTTTCCAAAGGTTGGGTCTTGATGTTTTGAAGCTAGTGGGACAATGTTTTGTTTTCAATATCAAAGAAGCGGCTCTAATTATGCTAAATGAGGCTAATTGTGTCGCAAATTCCTCGGCAGAATGTAGTAGGATCTGGTTACCCATACTGAAAGAGCAAGTTATTAAAAAGAAAATACCAGTATTAGTACGTCAGTAACATATAGAGGATACATCGTTTATATTTTTTAAATAACAAACATATAAAATCAGAATTTGGTGTTTATTAAAGGTAAACTATATGCACGACCAAATACTACCATGTCGGGATAGTATTAGAGGTTTTTTTCCTGGTTTTTAAAGACAAATTTGATGGATTTGACGGATATTTTAAAGTTAAAGTTGATTTCATGTAATCGAATGAACTATCTTATAAGTAAAGTCGTCCCAAGAGCGCAACTCAACAATATTGGCAATGTCATTTTTAAGTGGTCTACTTTAAAATGTATAATGCATGTCTGAATTGTAAATATAAATAAGTCAGATAAAATTAAATTATTAAAAGAATTTTTAAAAGAATTACTTTAAAATGCCACAAGAAAATATCTTCACAAAAATATTAATAAATATTAAAAAAAATAAACGCAGAATGAAAAATTACATTCCTACCAAGGGCTGAAAGTCCCTTAGAATAAACAAAAAGTTTGTTTTTAATGAGATATTCTAAATCAAAAATCCCACTTAATTTTCTGTTCCTTTTCACTCCTGTAACTTACTAAAATAAACATCATAGACGTTTTCAGGGACTTTTGGCCTTCGATAAATAATATAATTCATTCTACGTTTAAATTTTTCAAAAATACTTATCAGTTTTCTCGGGATTCGAAAAAAATGAACGAATTTAAAAATTCATTGGCCCGAAATTTTGCGCCTACGCTCTTATTTGAAAGTGAGATTGACAAACCAAGTATTATATTGGGACATTAGCGCCATTGGGCATCACCAATCTGATGGAAGCTGTACTAAATAGTCAGTCAGCTGTTAGTATGGGGTTCATAAAATTAGTTAGTTAAATTTAATTTAATTTAAATTTAATCTACAACCAAAGAAATACTGCTTACATGTCATTTACTTACATGTCAGATACAGGAAAGTCATATAAACTAAGACACTTCTGAGAATTACCTTCTCCCCAAGGAATACAGTCACTCTCGTACTTCTGAATTTCAAGGTAATCTTCAAATCGAACTGAATATCAAATGTTATTTTTTTTATTTATACTGTATATTTTGTCTTCAGCTGTTGTGTCAAGGTGTATAAATTAATTTGAATTAAATAAAAATTTTCTTAGGACGGCACAAACATTACAACACAAACACAATATATTAAAATTGTAACAGCTTGTGTAGTGTCATATTAGTGAGGTTATGTTATCAGTACTCCCACCAAAAGGTATTATGGATGAGGAACTGTTTTCTCTCAAGGGAGTGGTGATTACAGGGCCCTGAAGTATAGGCTAATGAGTTAACATGTATAATACGTGCAGACAAAATGAAATGACGTTCCACTTTTATCGTTTCGACGTTTCATCACGTTTGAGATTTAATTTTAATGCAATGCTCCTACCATCCGCTTGTACGTATTTTGACCTTATTAGATCTTCTCAGAGCGATTTATGCAGAAGCTTTTCTGCTCTTCTCCAGAAAAGCTCCTCTATAAGTCGCTCTGAAGAGACCTAGTAAGGTCAAAATACGTATAAGCGGATGACAATTTAGAAGAGCCTCATGTTCGTGAGTACTAGAAACTAGTTGCCGAAGGATTTTTGTCGTAATGGATAGGTATATGAAATGTAATTGGTAGATTTTCCCTCGGCTAGTTCATCAATATGTGTGCTTTGTATATTATAGAAAGCACAGTAGGCAAATATCTGAATTTTGGTTTGGCCAAGTAAGACATCTTCGGATTTCTACTATGATTGCCGATTTATGTATTTACGGAGTTCATCTGTGCTAAAAAAAGTTTAAGTAATTATTTGAATAATGATTTTTTAAGATACTAATCCTAACTTTAGTTTGTGCCCAATTTTAAATACAGATTTACTGATTTAGTTTTAATTCTACTTTAATGTTATCAAGCGATACTATTATGAACAAAATTTTTTTATTTAAATTTTAAGACTGACAATAGGAAATTATTGATAAACAGTTTCTTAAAATAATAATAATAATAGATATTTTACGGCTTTGATGCTGCAATCCATAGTTCACATTATTACTTTTTATGATTTTCACGAAATGAAAACCCTAAGAACAATAATGGGGAAAACAAGAAGAGACAGAGCGAGAAATACAAACATTAGAGAGCAGTGCAAAATTCAAGATATTGTAAGATGGGGAAGGCAGCGCAAGAGGATGTCGTACAACCATGTAAGACGAATGGATGAGAATAGACTCCCAAAAATTGCCCTAGAAAACAATCCGGCCGATTCAAGACCCCCCGGAAGACCACCTAAAAGATGGAGGCATAGTTGGCAATCTACCTCCCAAGAAATTAACCAGAGGCAGCTTCAGAATTAAACAGATCGAAAGCTCTACAAAAAGTAGAAGAAAAAGAAGGATTTTCACGCGGAAATCGAAAAAAATTGCAGCCACTTTTACTACTACTTAGTAAATTGCAATGCTACGAATATTGCTTACCATTGCCATCATTTAAAATTTACTAAGTGACATAGAAAATCCGAACACCCAGTTTAATGATTTTATTTTAATAAAATTTTGTATAAGTACTTAATGAAGCATAATAAGTAAATGATAAAAAATTCAAAATGATTGCATTGCTTTAAAGCCCTTATACCTTTAATAATGTGTGGATACACCCCGATGTGTTACGCATTCTCCAACGCGCCTAGGCATGCTTCTGATCAGGTGGTCAATGTCCTCTTGTGGTATCTCATTCCAGGCAACCACCAACTCCTCTCGAAGTGCTTGTAGAGTCTGAGAAGGACGTTACAAATTGAGCAATCTCCTACTCATCATATCCCATACGTGCTCAATTGGGGATAAGTCGAGAGATCTTGGTGGTCATGCTAACAATGTGACATCATTATATTGAAAGAAGTCTATTGTGACTCTTGCATCATGTGTTCTGGCATTATCTTGTTGGAAAGTTGGATTTGCCAGGGTGTCAAGATAGGGTAAAAGGTAGGGTTCTAGAACTTCTTGGATATAATGCTGCGCATTCATGTTACCTCTGATGAAGATTAAAGGTGACCTGGAACCATAAGCTATAGCACCCCAAATCATAACTCCAACAGTGTAATGAACATGTCCTTCAACCAAAAAAACTGTGGATTCCTCCTTTCACCACGTCGCCTTCTAACCCTCACTCGACCATCGTGCATGCCTAAACAAAATCGAGACTCATCACTAAAGACAATACTGTTCCACTCCTGATTCCAGAGTGACCGTTCTCTGCACCACTGAAGGCGATTACGGCGGTGTTCTGGAGTTAAAGGGGAGACCCAGTGCGGACGGTATGAAAACGGGCCAAAACTTCTCATTCATCGGTAAACACTTCGCATGCCAATAGGTCTTCCGTGTTCTGCAAACCATTCATTTGCAATGGAGTTGATAGTGGAGAGACGGTCTCTTAAAGCCAATAATCTTAGGCGGCTATCTTCACGGTCTGTTGTTCTACAGCGGCGTCCAGTGCCTCTTGCTCTTTGCGTACAGCCTTCTTAAAGCCATGCCTGACAACACATAACCACCGTGTCTACACTTCTTTGCACTCTAACTGCAAGTTCCCGAAAAGAAAGTCCAGCTTCCCGAAGTCCCTATGGGCCCTACGGCCACTATCAAACTCACTAAGTTGACGAAATCGTATAGGCTCCGTACTCTAGGCAACGTAACCAATCGTAAAGAATGTCAAGAACCACAATCCGCCAAATTTGGATCTTTACTGCGGCTGAAATATTAATTTTTATATTGTTAGTGAATTTAAAAACAAAAAGTATAAAAACTGGAATCTTTAACTGATAAGGCTAAAAACTTTATCACTTGTTTTTTCAGTAAGATAAATAAATGACACCAAATTTTATGGAAATAGAATCATTTAAACTGGGTGTTCGGATTTCTATGTCACTTAGTATAATTATATAATATATATAATTATAACTTATATATAAAACTCTTACGGTGATGATAAATTTGTCCGATATTCTTCTTCTTTATGTGCCTTGTCCGTTTCGAACGTTGGCAATCAACATGGCTATTCTGACTTTGTTTACGGCAGATCTGAATAGTTCAGCAGATAACAATCAGAACCATTGGCGCAAGTTTTGGAGCCACGAGTGTCTTTTCCTCCCTTGACCCCTTCTGCTGTCTATTTTCCCTTGAACGATCAGCTGCAGTACTCTATATTTATTATGTCTCATAAGTGACCCAATTATTCTAACTTTTTTTTTGTTTATACTTATTCCTACCTCTCTCTCTTTACCTATCCGGCGTAGTACCTCTTCGTTGGTCACGTGCTCAGTCCAGGATATACGTAATATACGTCGGTAAGCCCACATTTCGAAGGACTCTACTTTTTTCATCAATATTGCGGTCATTGTCTACGCCTCAATTCCATATAACAAAACCGGGAATACATAACATTTCAGAAGTCGAATTTTGAGAGGTAGGGTGAGGCTTTTAGAGGTGAAAATTTGCTTCATGCTAGTGAACGATGCTCTTGCCTTTTCTACTCTTATACGTATTTTCTTCGCTTAATCCCAATTTGAGTTAACTGTTGTTCCCAAGTAGATGTACGAATCCACGTGTTCAATTCTTTCATTGTCTAATATCAGTTGCTGTGGTGATTGTTGGGTTTTGCTTACTAACATCCATTTGGTTTTTGTGATATTTAGTCTGAGTCCGTATTGTGCACTTGTTTTTTGTATCTTACTTATTAGGCAACTCAGTTCCTCCATGCTACTTGCTAGAATCACAGTGTCATCAGCATACCTTATGTTATTAATAATTTCTCCATTTATCTTTTTGTCTTCTGTGCTTTCCTCCAGCGCTGTCTTAAATACTTCTTTTAAGTATATATTAAAGAGAATTGGAGACAAGATACAGTCCTGTCGTACCCCTTTCTTGATCTCAATTTTATTGGTCAATGTAGATCCTACTTTCACTTTAGCTGTTTGACCCCAATAGAGACTCGCTATTGTTCGAATGTCTCTGTAGTCGACTCCGATCTTATGGAGAACTTCAATTATCTTTTCGTGCTTTACGTTATCGAATGCTTTTGAGTAGTCTATAAAGCATATGTACACGTCTTTGTTCATATCTCTGCAGCGCTGGATGAGTACCTGTAGACTAAAAAGTGCTTCTCTTGTCCCAAGAAAATTCCGAAACCCAAACTGCGAATCTCCAATGTTATACTCGCATTTTTTGCTTATTCTGTTGTAAATAACCTTGGTGTATGCCTTTGAAATGTGGTTAATTAGACTTATCATCCGATGTTGATCACAAGACTTTGCTTTTGGTTTTTTTCGGTATGGCAACAAAAGTTGACTCTAGCCAGTTTTCAGGAAACTCCCCGCTGTTATAAATATGAGCGCTTTAATTGTGACATATGCTCTACCATCAGCTGCACAGAACGAATAACTGATTTGTAATACATTGATGATATAAATGAATGTTTCGAAAACAAACACCACTTTTAAAGCGTGTTTGAAACACGATATTGTGAGGTTTAAAGTATATCAATGTCACAAACATATCTATTTGAATATAGAGAAACAAATGTGAATTTTACTCAAAAATTGGAAAATGTGAATTTGATATTTGCTTATTTATTTCTCTGTGTATTTGATTATTCCTTATCTTATTTAAACATTTCAATTTTTTAGGAGTTCGGCTACCGCATAAAGTGATTCTAAACAGACTCCAATGGCAGTTTAGAAGATTTCCTTACAGCCCTTCCGAAAAAGTGTGTGTTTTCAAAACAGCATTAACGTTCGTGGATAGCATAGCGGAAATTTGGGGGCCGCTATTGAACGGTAGAGCCATTCTCGTGATTCCAAAATCGGTTACTCAAGATCCAGAAACATTTGTTAATGTTTTGGAAAACTATAAGGTAAGTGGAAATGTTGTCATGGTAGTAGAATATGTTTTAATCAGTCAGTCTTAGAATATTTAGTATTTGAAGTTTCAGCGTAGATGGAACTAGCACCTATTACACTTGAACTACCTGATTTTCTTTTCCTTTTTGTAGATATATTCTTGTAGAATCTAAAAGTATTATATTTAATTTTATAAATCCATACAAGAGCCTTGTTATCTAGTTAAGTTTGTAGTCACTACTTAGAGATGAAGTTCATTTATAGTTTCCTTAGGAGATCAATATTGATATATTTTTGAAATAAATAATTACGTATGTTCTTTTTACATAAAAAATAGATATTTCCACAAAAATCACTAATTTATATACTTAAAAAATTATCAAAATTATTCATTTAATACTTGTTCTATTTTTATGTAGACATAATATCTTATCCACTATGTATGGGACAATAACCACAATTGATTGTAATGAGAAATAAATTTTACATATTTATGTTTTGATCATTCGATTTTCATCCAGAGAACGTATTTACTATTTTTAACTCATTCCTCAACTTTACTGTAAACATTTTTAAATTTCTAATTAAAATTTCTAGATATTTCTAATTTCTCGTTGGTTTGACTAGAAGTTTTTTGGATCGAAATCAAAAGATCAAAACATTAATATGTAAAATTTATTTCTCATTACAATCAATTGTGTTTAAGTCCCATATAATAATGCCAAACCAAAACAATTACAGATTCTTCTATAGTATTTATATAAGCAGTATTCGTACTTTGAAGTCAATTAAGTCGTGATAAAATCCACAATTAGTACCACGTTTTATCTCCATCTCTCAAATCTCCATACAGCTGTATGGAGATTTGAAACCATCAGTTTTGATTTTTGTATTCTGAAAATATAGTCGGCAATTGATTTTTGACGTAAGTTGGCATTTTTTGCAAACCCGCTATAGTTTTAAAATTACCTCTTGTAGTATCTTAATAGACTTTTAATTGATTAAGCTTCTGTAGAAGGAGCTAATAGACTGCAATAACATTAACACATTAAGTTAGGTATTTTTGGTAAATAATATATACTACTGTATACATATCATCGAGTAAAAAGACAAAAGAGGGAATGTAAAGGTACTGGGGGCAAAAATATTGTTAGACAGGAAGTGCGATCTTTAGAAGAAGCCACATTAAACAAGGAAAGAGAGTCTCTCTCCTTGTTTGACATCAAATTTAGTTGGGTTATGTTAGTGTTTGTCCCAAATGTCACATGAAATCTTATTTATATTGAAGTTTTTTAACAATTGTCGCATTTTAGACTATTGCCTTTAATAATTAATTAAAACTTTCTCGTCGAAGACACATTCTGAAAAATATTATATAGCTACAGTTAATAAGTGTCGGAAAATTTAAATTTGGCGCATTCGCATTTCCGGATATGTCCGCCATCAGAGGCCACTTTTTTGGTCTCCTTTTCATAAGGATTAGATTCCCTCTTTTGTCTTTATGCTCGATGAGACATATACTGTATATAAAAGAGTGGCCATCCTATAAATTTTCAAAAATAAAAATTCATTAGAAGTTTTGTGCAGTTTTATATTGTATCCTCAACTTCCTTTTATTTTTAATACAAAAATTGGTCATTACTGCTTGATTATTTAGCATAATTTATATAATTAGAAGGGTAAACATTTTTAAATTTCTAATTACAATTTCTAGAAATTTATAATTTCTCATTGGTTTGACTAGAAGTTTCATAAATTTTACGAGACATATCCTGATTATTTTCATAAGTACTCACCTGCTGACTGAAATTTGACTGTCGTAATGTTGTCTCCAGTCTCAATTAGATCAATGTTGATCTTTTTAAAACTACTAGAACCTTCTGCTGGTCCCGCAACTTCTTCATTATAATATAATTTAGCAACATCGTTGATCTGAGAGTCACAAATTTTTAAAATAAGTCATAAATAGTCTGTACCGAAAACAAAAAAAAAATATATTTTTTTAAATAAGACAAGGTTTATTTTACTTGGCTAAAGTGCTAATCTGACCCAAGAACCTTCCTCCTTTTTCCGGGCTTAGGACCGGCAACAAGTTCATTGAGGTAGTATGTCAATGATCCTGTAGGCGGAGTTAAAAAACCTGGACTTACCGAGATACAAAACTACTTCGCTAAAATTAAAATTTTTAGCAAAAAATAAAATAATGCCTTTAAAAAATTAACTGAAAAATTAACAGAGTTACTCGTCTATATGTTTAATTTATTCAATGGAACTATTTAATTGATATCACTTAAATATGTCATTCATATACTAAAACAAACAAATACCGCAGTATAAAGTATTAACATTAAAAAGACTTATCTACAATATAAAAGATATAAGTGAAATTAAACGCCTGTATAAAAAACGAAGAAAAAAAGTGTCGAAACTGCTAAATTGCTGCTCAATTAACTTCCAATATATTATATTAAACGTAACAACGTGACTAAAACAAAACGAATAACAGCACAAAATGCATATCAAAGATATAAGGTAACAGTAGAACTGACAAGTAAAAAACAAGAAAAGAAATTCACATATTTAGAAAAATTAGAATAAATTGGTAAAAATTCTAGAAAACTTTACTTTTTTTGAAATAAAAGACACTACACAAAGAGCCGAGATAAATGATATTCCAAAAGAAAGATTCAGTGACTTTACCAGTCTTAGGTTTCTACTGAAACATTTAGGCGTCGAATGTCGCTGTGGACCGAGCGCCGGCGAATGGCTTATCACTAAAGGTTTTTTCTTGAATACCATTTACCAGCTGTCTGTGAGCATCTATAGGGTCAGATATTTAATATAGAAAGTAAGACAAATTGAAACTTGTTTTATTTAATATTATTAATAAGGAAATCATAAAAAAATGTCTAAAATAAGGTTATACAAAATCAGAGAAGTATGTTTTAGACACAAGCAACAATACTGTTATGCCCTAGGTCTAACACCACTTCAATAAGACTACCAAATATTTCATCATAATAATTTCCAATATTCACACATAACAAAACACAAACCTTTTCATTTCCATGTATTATTTTCAACTTTATCTTAAGATAGATTTTATTTTTCTCCAAAATGAAAAAGACACTACACAAAGAGCCAAGATAACTGATATTCCAAAAGAAAGATTTAGTGACTTCACCAGTCTTAGGTTTCTAATGAAACATTTAGGCGTCGAATGTCGCTATGGACCGAGCGCCGGCGACTGGCTTATCACTAAAGGATTTTTTTAGAATACCATTTACCAGCTGTCTGTGAGCATCTATAGGGTCAGATATTTAATATAGAAAAAAGGACAAATTAAAACTTGTTTTATTGAATACTATTAATGACGAGATCATAAGAAAATTCCTAAAATAAGGATATACAAAATCAGAGAAGTATGTTATAGACACAAGCAACAATAGTGTTAGCTCTAACACCACTTCAATAAGACCACCAAATATTTTATTATAATAATTTCTAGTATTCACACATAACAAAACACAAAACCTTTTAATTTCCATGTATTATTTTCAACTTTATCTTGAGATAGGTTTTATTTTTCTCGAAAATGAAAAAGACACTACACAAAGAGCCGAAATAACTGATATTCCAAAAAAAAGATTCAGTGACTTGACCAGTCTTAGGTTTCTACTGAAACATTTAGGCGTCGAATGTCGCTGTGGACCGAGCGCCGGCGACTTTCTTATTACTAAAGGTTTTTTCTAGAATACCATTTACTAGCTGTCTGTGAGCATCTATAGGGTCAGAGATTTAGTACAGAAAGAAGGACAAATTGAAACTTGTTTTAGTTAATATTATTTATGAGGAAATCATTAAAAAATGTCTAAAATAAGGTTAAACAAAATCAGAGAAGTATGTTTTAGACACAAGCAACAATAATGTTATGCCTTAGCTCTAACAATACTTCAATAAGACTACCAAATATTTCATCATAATAATTTCTAATATTCACACATAACAAAACACAAAACCTTTTAATTTCCATGTATTATTTTCAACTTTATCTTGAAATAGATTTTATTTTTCTCGAAAATGAACAAGACACTACACAAAGAGCCGAGATAACTGATATTCCAAAAAAAAGGTTCAGTGACTTTACCAGTCTTAGGTTTCTACTGAAACATTTAGGCGTCGAATGTCGCTGTGGACCGAGCGCCGGCGACTGTCATATCACTAAAAGTTTTTTCTAGAATACCATTTACTAGCTGTCTGTGAGCATCTATAGGGTCAGAGATTTAGTACAGAAAGAAGCACAAATTGAAACTTGTTTTAGTTAATATTATTTATGAGGAAATCATAAAAAAAATGTCTAAAATGAGGTTAAACAAAATCAGAGAAGTATGTTTTAGACACAAGCAACAATAATGTTATGCCTTAGCTCTAACAACACTTCAATAAGACCACCAAATATTTCATCATAATAATTTCTAATATTCACACATAACAAAACACAAAACCTTTTAATTTCCATGTATTATTTTCAACTTTATCTTGAAATAGATTTTATTTTTCTCGAAAATGAAAAAGACACTACACAAAGAGCCGAGATAACTGATATTCCAAAAAAAAGGTTCAGTGACTTTACCAGTCTTAGGTTTCTACTGAAACATTTAGGCGTCGAATGTCGCTGTGGACCGAGCGCCGGCGACTTTCTTATCACTAAAAGTTTTTTCTAGAATACCACTTACTAGCTGTCTGTGAGAATCTACAGGGTCAGAGATTTAGTACAGAAAGAAGGACAAATTGAAACTTGTTTTAGTTAATATTATTTATGAGGAAACCATAAAAAAATGTCTAAAATAAGATTATACAAAATCAGCGAAGTATGTATTAGACACAAGCAACAATAATGTTATGCCCTAGCTCTAACACCACTTCAATAAGACCACCAAATATTTCATCATTATAATTTCTAATATTCACACATAACAAAACATAAAACCTTTTAATTTCCATGTATTATTTT